CCCTGCTGTGCCCTGGCTTAGAGCAGCGCCTGGCACAGAGGAGGTGCGTGAAGGCAGCTCACGCACGGTAGGGCTGGGCTTGTGGGCACGGAGTCCCACAGGCCCCACAGAGCTGCCCTCCCATGATCCTGCCTCCCAGGAAAAGTTCAACTCCCTCGCCTCACACAGGAGGTCCACAGGGCTCAGAGAAGAGCACTTCCCGAGGTCGCCAGGTTAACACCAGGCCTGTCGTCCCGGTCCAGAGGCCACACTCTTTCCAGCACGGTAGAAGTTTCAGGAGAAAGAGCCGAACACAGAACAAAGGTCCCACTGATGAGCCACATGCATCACTAGGAGGAGTCCAGCAAGTGGGAGAGGCTAGATCGGAGGAGACTGGCTCAGAGCACCTGCTGGGAGGCCCTGGGACAGGGACAGGGACGTCACCCCAGCCCACCACAGCTGGGCACAGACGCCGGCACAAAGGGGGCAGCTGTGGCTCCAGGAGGGGATGCAGCCCTCTCGCAGGGCAGCTAAGGGTTGGGGGCTTCAGAATTCCAGGGGTCTGGGGGCCACAGGGATGGCACCTCAGGGAGGGGGTGAGAAGGGGTGATGGGCCCGCCCCGTCCTGGTCCGAGGGACACCGACCAGGGATGTGAGGGACTGCACCGCCTGCCTGCTGGTGCAGACGGGAGCAGAACGGTCTCCGTGTGCTTCCAGCTTCTGCACACAGGGAACCCGGCACTCTTCTACCCACTCCTTCCCAAAACAGATGCACTTATTTTAAACGTCGTGGGGCTCTTGTCTGGTCTCTTTCCTGAGCAGCACTTGGGGCACTGAGATTAGCCCCAGCCACAGACCCCACCCAGGCCCCCGCTAGGGAGGAGTAGGCAGGTGGGGCGGGCAGGGAGCCGCCCTGGGGGGCTGCACCAGCCCTGACCACCAACCTGCCCAAACAAGCACCGTGATGAGGCCACACTGAGGAACGGCTGGAGCACGGGCTTCAGAACCCAAAGATGAATTCTACTTAATTACACGCACACGGAGGCATTTAGAGGAAGTGTGCAGATGTCTGCAATTTACTTAAAGCGCGTCAGAAGAATGAAGCGGTGTGGCGGCTGGGCGAAGGATAAGGAGCTGTCAGGAGGCCCCGCGGCGGGGCGTCCATGGTGGAGCTCTGGTGGTGGGTGAACAGGCGCTCGCTGCAGACTTCTCTCAGTGTCACAATGAATCTTTAAAAGTTCATAATCCAATGCTGAAAAACCCAACAGGGCTGAGTCTGAATACTGCTCCCATCACTGCTGGGTGACACGGGGCCCCATGGGGCATGGGTGCCGGCCCACGCTGCACACTTGATGCACAGAAGCTGGTGGCTGCCGGGTGGGACTGTCAGGTGGAGATGCGTCCACCCAGCCGGAAGGTTGGTGTCCTGCCCAGTGCGGCCTCCACTGGACGTGCCCCTCTCTACCCAGGGCGGCCTCTGAACCCCCACCGGCCTCACCATGTGTCCCACCCTGGCTCGGTGCCCTCCATCCGGGGATGTGGCCCATCAGAACCACAGATGTGGAAAACGTGCACGTGTCTCGGACGTGAGGACTATGGCATTATGATGGATAACAGAAATGGCCGCCATGCAGGCCTGGTTCCCCAGGTACGTGCAGGGCCCTCCAGGAGCCATCACCTGAGATCTCCAGAGACACCCTGCGAGAAAGGCCCATGCCCTCCACATCCTGGGGAGCACGCCGAGGCCAGGCCGCAGCCAGTGGGAGGCAGAGCCTTGGCCCACCCCAGGCTGTGGGGTCCAAGCCGGCAAGGCCCAGTGTCCCCACCATGAGGTGGGACATCAGAGGGCAGCCGGGAGGCAGAAGAGGACAAAGCGCTGGGGCCCCAGCTCCTTGGTTCTAGGCCGGTGGAAAAGCACAGAGCACACTCAGGGAGTGGGGACAGGAGTGGGGCGGGAGGCTGTGGCTGCAGGTGGGGTGAGGGACTGTGCCGCCCACCTGACCCAACTCCTGCAGCTGCACCAATCGCCACAGGGTCCCTCTGCCACCAGATCTGGAGTTCCATGGGGTCTGCCCGATTTCTGTCTTCACTTGAGAACACCGCAACACGTTCAAGCCTCATTCTGCCTCCCCAACGTGGAGCATCTGAGCTCCTCCTTCATACGCAGGCTCCCTGTGGGCCTCACTTTCCCCATCTCTAGAGGGGGCGCCAGCAGCCCGGCCAGCCACCCTCGGTGGGCGCCCAAGCTCTCCCACCCCCACCACTGGATGGGAGGCCCCGCTGCCCAGGAGGCCCCACCCACCCACTTCCAGCCCCTTCAGCAACACAAGGGCGCACACAGTTGGCCCTAATGAGTGTGTGGACAGCTATCGGCTCTCAGGTAGACCCAGAAAGGCCAGTGCCACAGCAGGGCCCAATGACAGCCCTACCAGCCCTGGTTTCCTGGCCCCAGCACCGCGGGAGGGCAGTGGCACTCGCGCCCAGCTCTAAGGGGTAACTGGAATTCTCTTTCCTCGCCAACCAGCTGTGAACTAATTACAAAAAGTTTTAACTAGTCAAGCCCCTCTCCAAGCATATGTTCCCAATTAAGTCAGACTGCAGCTGATTTTAATCAATCTTCCTTGAAGCGGCCTAACTTGAGGCTTCCAGAGGGAGTGGGAGCAGGGAGCGGGGAGGGCATCGCACAAGGGGTGCGGGGGCGGCAGCCAGCTCCTGGGGCCTCGCTCTGTTGCCCAGGCTGGAGTGCAGTGGCGCGATCTTGGCTCACTGCAATCTGCCTCGAACTACAGGGGCCCACCACCACGCCCAGCTAATTTTTGCATTTTTAGTAGAGGCGGGGTTTCACCATGTTGGCCAGGCTGGGCTTGAACTCCTGACCTCAGCTGATCCACCCGCCTCGGCCTCTCAAAGTGCTGGGATTACAGGTGTGAGCCACCCTGCCTGGCCAAAAGAGAGACTTTCAGTGGTCTTGCAAGATCCGGTGTCAGGTGGGCAGGCACACCCAGCATGGTCACAACAAGCCACTTATCCCCTAGTGTGCAGGTCCCTCCCCCGGCTCCTCACAGGCTGAGCACTATGGGGGGGGGGGGGGGGGGGGGGGGGGGGGTCACAGTCTTCCTGGACATCGCCTATCGGTTGTTGGGCGGGGGCTGTAGGTTTTTTTTAGGGTTGTCTTGCTGCATTTTGTTGCAGCCCACGATGCAATGCAATCCTAGTCAGCTCAGGGTCTCTTCAGATATTTGAGTTACAATCTAAGTGGCTGGGCAAGCCGATAAGAACAGGCAAAACGAACTATTTTGCAGACTAGTAAACTTTCATCTTAGACTAAACTTCTTTGGTTTGGATAAGGGCAAGTAAGGTGGGTGTGGGGGAGGCAGGGAAGGGGAGGCCGACAAACAGGCATCGGTGATCCAAGCAGGGGCCTGGTACCTCCAGTTTCTTCCGTAGTTTGCTGACCTAAGCCGGTTCAAGGCACTTTATCTTGGAAATAGACCCCTATTTACATTATTTCCTTCAGCTGCACAGCCCTGGGTGTCCAGAGCCAGGGGCAGCCTGAGCCACCACAGGGCCTGTGAGGCCTCACCTTCCCCAGGGCCACCCTGGGCATCCCCCGACTAAGGGTGAAATTGTAGGCGGTGTCAGAGGTGGCGGCAGCTGGAGGGCTGGCTGGAAGTTCCCAACACTCCACAGGCCAAACCGCAGTGGCCTCCCCACCTCACTGCTCTGCACTTACTTCTCCCACGCTATCCAGACACAGTCATCCCTGTTGCCCTGACCCAGGAGGAACAGCTCCTGAATCCTGGGCTAGGCTCGAGGTCACATCACGGCATAAACATCTGCTTCCCCAGGACCACCAGGCCCAGCCCTGTCCTCTCCCCAAATGGCCACACTGGCCACACTGTGGCACCCATGCTCTGGGGTGGCCAACACCACACCTCAGCTCTGAGCAGCCCCAGGACATGTGGGGGGCAGAGCCCCCACCCCTCCAAGACCCTGGCAGAGCTCAGGGGAGGGTCACAGGTGACACTGCCAGCCCCATCCCTCATGCCAACCCCGTGGTGTGTGACAGCCCTTGGCATCTCCCACAGAGGAGTGCTCCACTAGTGAGCTCCCGAGCACACATTGTCTGCACAAGACGAGGATGGTGGTCAGGCCCCGCCAGCTGTTCACCAGGTACGGACACAGCACTCACCCACACCCCTCGCCTCGTTCACGCCTCAACCAGCTCCAAGGGCCGGCCGCTGAGGGTGCCCTGGGGAAAGGGCTGGAAGCAGGAGCAGGAAAGCCGGAAGTGGTGCCTGCGGGGATGCCTGACCCCCCATCAGCAGGCAACGTGGGCGTCAAGGAGCAGGGTTCAGGCTCTGCTCGACCCAACACCCAGAAAGATGTTCAGCAGCTCTGACGCGAAGCCTCTGGTGGGTGGGCAGCAGCTCCGTGACCCCTCCCTGGACACCACGGCCCAATTAAAACAAGATGACAGGTCCTAGGCTGAGGACAGGCCAGCGCGGCTCGGAGCCGCCCGTCACCACAATGTCACTCCTCCCATCGCCAGGAACTGATCATAAAAAATAGATTTGATCTGCCTCTAATAGGTGTCAAGATAAAATCAATGGCCTCCAAAAACCCGGTAACCTCAAACCTGAGGGCTTCCTGCCATGCAGCAACTCAGACAGGAGGATGAAAACCAAAGAGAAAGAACCATTAAAAGAACACAAACAGCAGTCCAGCCTCGCCACGGCAGATCCCGGGTGGGCACAGTGCAAACCTGCCCAGAGCCCACTCCACGGATACCAGGCGTGTGGGTGGCGCAGGGCGGAGAGGACCCCAGGGGTGGCCAGTGCAGGCCTCACGGCCTCCCCGCCAGGCAAGGCGGTGCACATGGGAGGAAGGAGAGCCCAGAGTTCAGACAGACGAGCCGGAAAACAGGTGCTCTGTGGCGGCAGGAACCACGGACATTCACGTTGCACAGAGAAATGCGAGGCCCCAGGCAGTGCCGCCCCCAGAGGCTGCCCCGCCCTCACCTGCAGCACGCGCCGCTCCAGCTGTGCCTCCAGCATCCTCTTTTCCTCCTCCAGCCGACTCCGCTCGCCCTCCAGCTCCTCGACCTTCAACCTGCAAAGAGAGCAAGACGGTGACCAGGCGTCCATGGCCAGCCATGCTGGGGAAGTCCTGCCCTCTGGGTGACAAGGAAGCGAAAGGTTAGGAGATCCAGCTATACAGCTTTAGTTTTAAATACATGCCTGTGAAGCTCTCAAGAGGCCAGCAATAACATCAAGAGAAAACTGGAAAGGGACACAAGTACAGGATGGGGGAGTCCGTGGCGGCCTCCGCTCAGCTGGAGGAGTCTGTGTGGAGAAAGTCCCCGTCGACCACACCTTGGCTGGAAGCACAGAGGGAACCAGCCCGAGGCAGGACGCCTGGGAGTCAGGGTGTCTGTCAGCCACTCCCAGAGGGTGATGTCACGGCGGAGTGCAGGGGACACTGAGGGACAGGAAAGCGACCTCAGGACGTCTTCAGAAATGAGGAAAAGACAGGAAAGGACTTCGACTGCGGGGTGTGGAAGGAGCTGATGACGGGGACCACAGAGGCACAATTCAGATGAGAAACAAAAGCAGGCTTCGGGGTGACCACGGCGAGTTTCCTTCTCCGCAGTGGGAAAAGAATGCAAAACAAACCTTCACGGCTGCAGCCGGAATGAGGCCAGCTGTAGTCCACTGTAAGAAGCTGTCTAGTTCTGTCTTCATTTCTAGATCTAACATTTTGAATGAAAAACATATTCACGTGGTTTAAAAATCAAAGTCTGTCAAGGCCCATAGTGATGGAAAGATTACTCGACACTGCACAGGGCCAGGAGTGAGGACAGGAGTGGGGCCAGCAGTGGCGCCAGGAGCGGGGCCAGGAGTGGGGGCAGAGGGGCAGGAATTTGGGGCCAGCAGTGGCGCCAGGAGGCGGGGCCAGGGAGTGGGGACAGGAGGAGGGGAACAGGAGGGAACAGGAATGGAGACAGGAGTGGGGCAGCTATTTCACAGGAGTGGGGCCAGCAGTGGCGCCAGGAGCGGGGCCAGGAGTGGGGACAGGAGGGGGAACAGGAATGGAGACAGGAGTGGGGACAGCTATTCCAGCCTGAGACCTGCTCCAGGGTGCTCCAACACACCATAACAGCAAGACCCGAGGAAACCCAATTCTTGCCAAGAAACCTAACTGCATCTCTGAAAGAAGATCAAGAAGATTTATACAAATGCAGAGATGTCTAGGACACAAGTTAAAATTCACAATGCCTGCCATCCAATCAAAGATTACCAGACATTTAAAGCAGCAGGAAAACATGGCCTATAATGAAGAGATTAACCAATCAACGAATACCTACCAAGACACAGTGTTGCACAGACAGCAACACTGGCAAACAGGGACACTAAGAGAGTTGTTAAAGCTATTGGAAAAATGGAACAGTTCAGACATGGAAGAGACACACGTAGAAGTGGAAACTACAACATCTCAGATAAACACACTGGATGGCATTAATGACAGAACAGAATCCGTTAGAGAAAAGTCTAATGTCCTTCAGGGCATAGCAACAGAAACTATCAAAAACAAAACGCAGAGGTGGGCACAGTGGCTCACGTCTATAATCCCAGCACTTTGGGAGGCCAAGGCAGCTGGATCGCTGGAGGCCAGCAGTTCAAAACCAGCCTGGCCAACATGGCGTAACCCCTTCTCTACTAAAAATAAAAAAAAAATAGCCGGGCGTGGTGGTGCACCCCTGTAGTTCCAGCTCCTCAGGAGACTGAGGCCTAAGAATCGCTTGAACCCAGGGGGTGGAGACTGCAATGAGCCAAGATCACCCCAGGGCCCTCCACCCCAGGTGACAGAGCGAGGCCTTATGTCAAAAACAAATAAATAAGCAAACACAGAGAGGAAAAGATTTCTGAAAAATGAAAAGAGAATCGCTGAGCTGTGGGACGGCTTCATGAGGCATAAAATACATGAATGAGAGTCCCCAAAGGAAAGAAGGCAGAGGAAACGACGGGACAAATACTGTCAGAAAGTTCCAAATTCAATGGAAAGTATAAAGCTACAGATGCAGGAAGCTCAACAGACATGAGGCAGCACCAGGAACACAGGCCCGGGAAATAAGACGCTGGCAGCCCCAGAGCACATCAGGATGAGCCTGCTCAGGACCACAGCACGGAAAACCACCTTAAAGGCAGAGGCAGGACCTACGGAGGCACAAGGCGGGGTTCTCATGAGAAAAAGTGCAACGGAGAAAAGAGGAGAGAGAAATCTCTGAAATGCCAATAGAAACGAAAACCACCACCTTAGAACGGTGAAAGCATCTCCGAAAACAAAAGCAAATAAAGGTGCCTTCAGACCAGACATGAAAGCTGAAAGAATTCACCATCAGCTGAACTGCTCTACAGAAACGTCAGGGAAGGCCTGCAGGCAAAGGAGGATGAGGGCAGGGCGGGGCACAAAAACCCGGACCTGCACGGAGAACCAGGAGGGCTGGAACAGCAACTGCATGTAGGGAGAGTTTTCTGATATTCATATCTGTTTAAAAAATTTAAATTATTAACGTTTTAAAGTGATTAATGGACTAAACAAAATTAATGAAAATATATTGGGGATTTAATATATGGACTAAATAAAATGTATGACAACAGTATAAAGGCTGGAGGAGAAAAACCAACATTGCGGCTATAAGGTGATTATACTGTATGCCACAAAAGAAAACAAAACAAAATCAGAAAAATAGCAAAGTAGACTGAAAAAAGGTAAAAGGAAAAAAGAAAAAAAACAGGAAAAAGGGAATGAAGAAGAGACAGACAAGCAGAAAATAGTAAAATGACAAGATCAAAACTAATCATATCAATAATCAAATTAGATGTAAGTAGCCTAACCACAATTAAAAGGCAGACACTCATACTGGATTAAAAAGCAACACCCAGTTAGACACCGCCGACAATAAAGACCTTTAAATACAAAGATGCAAAAAGGCGTAACATGCCATCACTAAGAAAACCAGCAAGAGAAAGCCGGAGACGCTACTAATACCGGAAATAGTAAATTTCAGAGCACATACTGTTACCAAGAAGGTAAGTTACAATAATAAAGAGATCCATTAATCGAGGGACAATAATCATCCTAAACACGTGTGTACTAATAAAAGAGCTGCAAAACAAATGAAACCAAACTGGCCGGAGAAACAGACGGGTCCACGATGACAATCGGAGACTTCAATATCACTCTCTCAGTAGCTGACAGAACAACGGGCAAAAAATCACGAGGACAAGGACCACATGATCCACCACTTTGACCTATTTCACCTGGATAAACGCTTTGACTCTAAGAGCAGAAGGTCCAGTCTTTTCAGGAGCACCTGAACAATGTACCAAGACGACCTCATGCTAAACCGTGAAAGAAGGCTCAGTCTATTTAGGAATTTCATAATTCTAACTATGTTATAGGACCATTATGGAATTAAACTAGAAATCAGCACCAGAAAGTCATCTGGAAAACATCACTTACAAAAGCTTGCAACACCATGAAACACATAGAGATGGAACGGAACAGGCCAAGAAAAACCTGCATGTGACAAGCTCGGAGCACTGCAGACAGAGATCCAGGGCGACCTCCACACAGGGAGATAGACATGCCTTGTCCACAGGCCGGGAGACTCTGGGTGTTGGGAACGCACTTCTCCCCCAAATTAATCCACAGAATCGAGCAACCTCAGTCAAAATCCCACAGGCTTCTTTGTACAAACTGGCAAGCTGATTCTAAAATTCACATGGAGATAGAATGGACCTAGAACAGAGAAAACAACATTGACAATGAAAAAGGAGGGGCTACCTAATTTCACCAACTATGTTAAAACCGTAGTAATCACAACAGTGCAGTACTGGTCTGCAAGACAGACGGACCAACAAAACAGAACAGAGTCCAGAAATAGGCGTATAAACACAACTAATTTTTGAAAAATATACGAAGGCAATTCAGTGTAGAAAGGACAGTCTCTTCAACAAATGGTTATGGAACAATTGGGTGTTCGTGGGGGAAATAAAGAATTAAAACTTTGTACAATAAACGAAAATCCTGCTCAATCCTGAACCAAAAGTTATGAAGTTACTAGAAGAAAATACAGGAGAAAATCTTGTGAATTTGAGACAGCCAAAGATTTCTTAGCTCTGATACCTGATAGGGTTTGGCTGTGTCCCCACCCAAATCTCATCTTGAATTGTAGCTCCCCTAATCCCCACGTGGTGCGAGAGGAATGTGGGGGGAGATAACTGAGTCACAGGGGCGGTTTCCCCCATACTGTTCTCATGTGTTATGGGAGGGATGTGGGGGGAGATAACTGAGTCACAGGGCGGTTTCCCCCATACTGTTCTCATGTGTTGCGGGAGGGATGTGGGGGGAGATAACTGAATCACAGGGAGGGATGTGGGGGAGATACAACTGAATCACAGGGGCTGTTTCCATACTGTTCTCAGTGTGTGGCAGTGGGGAGGGATGTGGGGAGATAACTGAGTCACAGGGCGGTTTCCATACTGTTCTCATGTGTTGCGGGAGGGATGGGGGAGATAACTGAGTCATTAGGTATGTTCCCCACACCATTCTCATGTGTTATGGGAGGGATGTGGGGGGAGATAACTGAATCACAGGGCGGTTTCCCCCACACTGTTCTCATGGTAGTGAATAAGTCTCACAAGATCTGATTTTATAAGGGGTTTCTCCTTTGGCTTGGCTCTCATTCTCTCGTCTGCCACCATGTAAGACGTGCCTTTTGCCTGCCACCATGATTGTGAGGCCTCCCCAGCCACATGGAATGGTGAGTCCATTCAACCTCTTTTTCTTTATAAATTACCCAGTCCGGGTACGTATGTCTTCATCAGCAGCGTGAAAATGGACTAATGCCCAAAGGATCACACATTAACAGAAAAAATTGAAACATTGGACTTTATCATTAAAAACGTCTCTTCAAAACACCTGATGAAAGAATGAAAAGACACGACACAGATTGGGAGAAAATATCTGGAAAACAAAGAATCTGATAAAGGCCTTGTAGCCAGAACATATAAAGAACTCTCCCAAACTCAACAACAACAAAAATA